ACCTGCTGGTGCTGGGAAACCGGGTGGTTTAGTGGTGTTGCTGCTCCAGGCGAAGTTGGGATGCTGGCGCCACCCCTCATTATATGTGTTGCTGTACGGGCCGAGGCGCCGAGCATTGGCGATGAAGTCCAACTGCTCTTGGGGAGTAGTAGACTCCCTCATAGCCTGGCAGTCTTCCACTAAGTGATTCGAGCTCTCACACCACTGACATTGAGCAACTGGAGGTGTAGCCAAACCTCTGCCCGGAATAAGACTGTTGGGCTGCTTCAATGTCTGCACTAGCTCAGCTACCTGCTGCTTGAGCCCGGATCTGGTCTCCATGGCGTGCACACCACGGTCCCGGGAATGTCTGCCTCGGCTACTCTGCCCCCAGGAATGATCTCTGGCAGCCAAAGTATTGATCATCTGGTTCAGCTCGGGTGGAGTCTTAGTGAGAACATCCCATCCTGGGCATAGAGACTCAATCACCCTCTGGCTGTCTGGAGAGAGAGCACTGTAGAAGTTCCCCACTGTGAATGCATCGCTAAAGCCATGATGGGGACACTGCCAGAAATATCCCATGTACCGCTCCCATGCATCACGAAGTGACTCATCTGGCTCTTGGCGGAAGTGAGTGATCTCCTGCTGGATCTCTGTAGTCTTCGATGCCGGATAGTACCTGTGCACGAATTTGTCAGCCAGATCGTCCCAAGAGGTGATGGACAATGGGGGCTAGGTCTCCAACCACCTCTTAGCATTCCCCGCCAGAGAATGGGGGAAGAGATGAAGGCGGATTGCGTCATCCGAGACACCATTCAGCTTGAACCCGTTCGTCAGCTGCAGAAAACGGGAAAAATGCACCCTGGCCTCCTCATCCTTCAAGCCATGGAACTGGATAGAGGATGTAATGAGCTGAATCCAGCATGGCTTGATCTCAAAGTTATTTGCTGGAATAGGCGGGTAGAGGATGACCGGGCGGATGTCATCAATCCGTGGAGTGTAGTAGTACTCCAAGGTGGGACCCGGCGGCGGTGGATGATGAACCCCATGATCCTGGGGTATGGGGTTGTTCCCCAGGACCTGATTCACCGGGGGAACCTGCTGAGGATTCCCCTGGTGCTGATTGTAGTCTCCTTCCATCCCATACTCTTCTTCAGAATCGCTACTCAGGTGGCCGTCTATGCGCCCTTCCGTAGCCAGTCTAGCTCGCTGTTGTCTCCTGAGCTGGCGACAGGTGCGATCAATCTCTGGATTCAACGACAGTAAACCTCCTGACTGGCTACGGGTCATGCACTACCTGCACACACTCAAGCAAGCAAACCCGTGAAGGCACAAGTGGGACAAAGCAAACAAAGCAAAAAGAAAAGCTAAATTAACAGAAATCACTTTTCTTCAACAACCTAGCCATCCCCGGCAACGGCGCCAAAAACTTGACTCACTTCTACTGTCACTCCAGGAATTGGCCAAGTGAAACCACTTCCTAAAGCGTAGTATAGCGGGTTTAGGTTTAATTGTCAACCCGGGTCCTAGATTTGATGACTACTCAGTGAACTCTTGTTATCTAGCAATGAAACTTTAATGCAAGTCTAAACTAACAAACTAACAAAGCAAGTAAACGGTTTTATTCAGGTTAAGAGAGGTCACCGGGATATGGTTCCCCCTAGACTGCAGTTAAGACGGATTGTAATTACCAAGTTCAGTTTCTATGATAGTTATACTGCGGAAGGTTCTTAAACCGCCTGAAGTCTCGACTAAAGGTCTTCAGACCCTCTCAATCTAAGTCTCTAGCGGGCGACTAACCTCCACCGGAGTAAACAGATTGAGGCCTTAACAAACAAAACCTCCACTACCAGAGTAAATCCGGTACATAATAGTTAGTTGGCTCCTCGACTAAAGTCACCAACTCCCTACCTTCAATCAAGGATGCTCTATCAACCTAGGCAGATATTCTCATTCTAGGTTAAAGCAGAAACAACAGAAATTTGATCAGGATTCAAGTAATTCATTCATTCAAACCTCAATTGAATATAATCAAATCATAGAATCAGTACTTGGGTTCATACAATCAAAGCCTAACATACAAATCTAGGGTTCTCCATACCTAGATGAATGGGAGAACTACTCCATGGAGAAAGAAGCAAAAGCAGAATCAGACGCGGAATTCATACTGTGAAGGATGGATTCCTGCTTCTGGACGTTGATCGGCACTTCTCCAAGCTCAAACTGGCCTCAAATGGTGTTGAAGATCAAGCTAGGGCACTTGGAGACTCTTGTTCGTCACTTTCTCTCTCTAGGAATCGCTCTATCTCTCTCAAAACTCGAATCCCTTGATTTTCAGCCTTTTTTCCCTTAAAACAACTGCCTGTCGCGATACCCGGTCGAAATACCCGGTCGGGTATTTTGGGTCACGACCAGGTATAGTTAAAACGCACATTTTGGCCAGGGGAAAATACCCGGTCTCATCCAATAATCCCCGGTCGGGGATTTCTGCCTTCCAGACCGGGACCCCCCTGTTTCTCAGACGCCAAAAGGGAAAATCCCCGGTCTCCTCAGAATAATACCCGGCCGGGTATTTGTAGTCATGGCCGGGTATTTTCTTCCTCCAGCCCACTTCAATCCTCACTTGCTCCTTTCGACCCAAATCTCGTTCCTTCGCCTCGATTCCAACGCCGGGTCCTGAAATATGACATAAACACAAAACCTCGCGTGAAATCGGCTTAAAACCCAAGAGTCAACCTCTCAAACGGCTCAAGAATAGGGGTGAAAATATGTGTAATTATCGGACTATCAGAATTCCTTCAATCTACAGGCATTGTTCATGAGATGTCCATTGTTGAAACCCCGCAACAGAATAGCACATTTGAAAGGAAACACCAACATATTTTCGTAGTAGCTAGAGCCTTAAAGTTTCAGGCTAACCTTCCAACAAGTTTTTGGGGTGATTGCATCAAACACGATGTGTTTCTAATCAACAGAGTCCCTTCTTCAGTCCTTCAAAACAAACCCCCCTTTGAAACTCTCCATAAAACATCTCCACACCTCACTGATCTAAAGGTTTTTGGTAGTCTGTGTTATGCTAGCACCCTAGACAGTCACATAACCAAATTTCAACCTCGAGCTAGGAAAGGAGTGTTCTTGGGCTATCCTCTGGTATAAAGGGTTACAGAATCTATGATCTTTCTTCTCATGACATCGTCATTTCAATAGATGTTCATTTCTATGAATCACAACTTCCTTTCCATTCCACAGATTCTAATACTTCTTCTCCTACAGATTCAGATGATTCTCACTTCTTATTTCCTATTCCATCCACCTCTCCTCCTCACTTTCCTGATGATTCAGACCATTTTTCCTCTCCTCGAGTCCCTCTTAATCCTATCATTCCACCCTCAGTCCAACCTCCACCTTCTCCTCCCTCTTTTTCTCCTGTTCCTTCACCTATTTCATCAAACACTACTCGTTCCATTCCTTCTACATCATCCCAACAACCCAATCCTTTACAAGTCAGAAGATCTGATAGAGTCATTAAACCACCCACTCGTTTTGTCAAGGATTAGCACTGTTACATGGCCAAGCAATCTAGCACTACCACTCCATCAATTTTTCTTCAGATTCAAGACAAAGGGTTTGATCTATCCTTTGTGGTCTCTTATGACAGGCTTTCCCCTCAATATAGACACTTCGGATGTTGTGGAATTACCTCCTGGTAAGAAACCTATTGGCAACAAATGGGTCTACAACACTAAATTTGAATCAGATGGGAGTCTAGACAGATTGAGAGCTCGCTTTGTGGCCAAAGGGAATACACATCAAGAGGGAGTGGATTATCAAGATGCTTTTGCCCTTGTGGTTAAGATGACTACTGTCAGAACCTTCCTTGTTGTTGCTGCTCTACGTAATTGGCATATTCACCAGCTTGATGTGAATAATGCTTTCCTCCATGGAGATCTCCAGGAGGAAGTTTACATGACTCTACCTGTTATAAACGCGCTGCTACAGATTAAGAAATCTTTGGAATCGAGAAAGAAAGAATACGAAAGTGAGAATCGAAAACATGACACACGATTTACGTGGTTCACTAACACGATGTGTGTTTGCTAGTCCACGGGCGAGTCAGAGCCAGTTTCACTATATCGAGTAGATTACATATTACAGAGGAGATGAGAAGTATTTATACTTGTCCATGTGGGTCTAAACCTTATCCAATCTGGCAAAGAAAACGGTTATAGACCAGGCCCAGAACCCGAACCCAAATAACATTGAGCCCATACGCCGCGGGCCCCCGACTATTCCAGTCGTAGCGGCTGATAGTCCGATGCGAGATCGTCTTCATAATTGTTGTCCACTTCTGCCACGGGAATTAGGGATGGCAATGGGTTGGGTTTTTCCAAACCCAAACCCATGGGTTTTTTGTCGTAAAAAATTTACAATAACAAGTTCCTATCAAAATTAAAGTCAAATATCAATTTCTCAATACAAATTATCCATATATAAAACACCATTCTAGAAAATTCAAGCAAATCATAAATTAACTATACAAATTGTTCAACACCAATCTAGAAAGCTTAAGAAAAATGAAGCAAATCACAAATTATCCATAAATAACATGACTAATTGAAAGCTTCTTCCTCCTTGTCAATTAAGTTTTTTCGCTCCCCACTCAATAACATCAACTTCGTTCTTCACAATTAGAAAGAAAAAATTAGACATGTCTCCAAAAATATAAATAAGATTAGTTGTTCAGAATATTAAATATACCGAGAAAATTAATTATATGGGTGTGGGCGGGTACCCATGGGGCGGGTTTACCTAAACCCACACCCAACCCGGTGAATAGTGAATGGGTTTAAACACAAACCCGGCCCAAAACCCGTCAACACGGATTTTACCCGCGTTGACCGGGTTGGGTCGGGTGGGCACCCGTGGGTTCGGGTTTTGTTGTCATCCCTAACGGCAACTGAACTGTGGTTCTTCTGTTGCCCTTTTCTCCTGGAACGGGACCCTTCGAATTCCTGTTCGAATTCCCTTTACCAGATTTCTTCTTTCTCTTTCCACCTGTAATAGCCAAACCCGATGCTTCACCACCTACACCAGAACCGGACGCCTTATGCCTGATCTCTCTCGTGTGGAGCAGATCTGACATCCTCCAACGACAAGCTATCTTTACCAGCAATAAAAGAATCCACGAAATTCTCATATGAACTCAGCAAAGACACAAGCAAGATTAGGGCACCATCTTCATCGTCAACCTTCACATCTATATTGCGTAAGTCTAGCAAAATAGAATTAAGTTGTTCCAGATGATCCCTCAAAGGCGTAACTTCTTGCATCCTCAAGCTGAACAACCGTGTCTTGAGATGCAGCTTGTTGGTTAAGGACTTCATCATATACAGACTCTCCAACTTTAACCACAAGCCCGCGGAAGTCTTCTCAGCAGCGACTTCAATGATGACGTCATCGGACCACAATAGCATGATGGTCGAGTGGGCCTTCTCCTCCAGGGTATTCGACTCATCGTCATCGACCGCTGCCTTCTTCTGTTTCGCAGATAGCAGCCCCCACAGCCCTTCGTGTTTCAATAAAGCCTGCATCTTGATCTGCCATATAGCGAAGCTGTTCTTCCTCGTGAACTTTTCGATCTTCATGTTCACCGACGTCATTCTTTTGAATCGAAAACCCTAGCCCGATTTCCAGCCGCGGCTGTGATACCACTTGTTAGCTAGTCCACAGGCGAGAGAGAGCCAGTTTCACTATATCGAGGAGATTACAGATTACATAGGAGATGAGAAGTATTTATACTTCTCTGTGTGGGTCTAAACCTAATCCAATCTGGTAAAGGAAACGGTTACAGACCAAGCCCAAAATCCGAACCCAAATAACATTGAGCCCATACACCGCGGGGCCCCCAATTATTCCAGTCGTAGCGGCTGATAGTCCGATTCAAGTCACATCAACACTACCTAGAGGATATGATCCACCACCTGGTTTTTCCAATCCTGTTTGTAGATTAAGGAAGTCCCTCTATGGTTTGAAACAAGCATCTCACCAATGGTTCTCTAAACTCATAGATAAGATTCAATTTCTTGGTTACATTCAAAGCATGGCAGGCCATTGCTTATTCTACAAAGTCACAGATTCTTTCTATACTTGCATCCTTATCTATGTTGATGACTTGTTGGTTGGTGGCAATGATCTCAATGAGATCACAACTTTGAATCAGTTTCTGCATCAAGAGTTTAGCATAAAGGATTTGGGTACCCTACGGTTCTTCTTAAGGATTGAAGTGGCACGAAACAACAAATCATTCATTTATCTCAAAGAAAATATACATTGGAGATCATTGAAGAGGCTGGTCTGCTTGATTCAAATTTAGTCACAACACCCATGGATTACAAAAGTCACCTATCTAGTACAGTGGAAATACAAATTGAAATCCCTAATTTCAATTCCAACGGCTATTTGATTGAAGAGGAAGAAGAAGATCCCACCGACGTCGTTTTCTCTCAAGGTGAAGCTGCTCCTATAGAACGCTGTGTGTTTCACTTGTTTCCTTCTTTTCTGCTAAACGTCATCGTTCCATTGTTTCCCGTTATGTTCTTTACTTTCTGCACAAGAGTACTTTGTTTCCTCGCCAAGCTACCACATTGAACTCCCTCGTCTCAGGTAGACCTGGCAATCCGGTGGGGTTTGCTTCCTCTAGTTGGTACTTGGTACTATAAAATCACTAAAAGAAAATTTTATGTAACGAGCTACAATATCAAAAACACCCTTTAGATTAAGTTGTATGTGTGACGAAATTATTGATAACTGATAGTAGAATACATAAAAAAAAGTGACATACCTTATAATTTTGATCTATATATAGTTTACAATAAATTGAAATATGACCCATTTGGTGAGATTGGGAAATACACCCACCAGACTGAAGAGCATATTTTCAAAGTAGACTAGTAGAGCCAATTCTTTTTAATATCTCATTCCACAAATTCCAAAGCTTGAACTTTGGGAAACCTATGGCTATGGGAGAAAGCCAAAGTCATCTTCCTTAACCATTTTTTTAATCGAGCTCTTGCTATAAAATATTCATGTCGTGAATCAGGTGATCCTTCCAAAGGGCATAATTAAATAACACTAAAGCGGTTCTGTTATGATAATATAAATTAATTAGTTGGGGCTTTCCTACTCAACATCAGAATTAGGTTTGTCTTTTTTTTTCCCCCTCAATTTCTTTTTACTGGTTAAACGGTCCATTGAAGGGTGCAGCCAACTGGGTAATGCCACCTGCAATATTCCTCATACTTTCTGACGTGGCCTGGTCTTACGTTTCCTTAATCAAAAGAGGCCTTTGTATAATCTATATTGATGAACCAAGACATATCATTACATCGTAATCAACGAGTTTTTCATGTTTGAACAATTGGATCAATTTTGGTTGATTAATATTAAGAGATGTGGCTCCACTTCACCAATTAACTAATTGTGATTTCTATGGTAGGGTCCGGCTTGTCTCCCTTAAGCAATGTCATTTTGGTGTTGTTAATTTGGAGTATGTAATATTTCTTGTAATGAGCATTTCATCATGTAAAGAATATTAACTTGGATCGTGATTCATGAATCATGATCATATGAATGATGAATGTTGATGAGTATATTGTCTGGTAGAATTTGGCTATTATATATGGAAATAGGGGTGCGGACCGTTTTGAACCGTATTGGACAGTACCAGACCAAATTGACATTTGGATCGGAATGCAAATGCAAGGTTGATCCGATCCTTGGTCCTAATATATCTTTCAATATTGTAACAAGAATTTTAACCCTTAATACATATAGCATGAGTGAAACCCTGTTGCAAACCCCGATGGGACTTCCACCTTGAATTGCTAAAAACCCTTACTACACGTAGCAGTGACAACATTGACAAAGGTGCATACATGAATTGGAAAAAGTATTGCTACAACTTGTAACATGGGTTACAATCCTTGCTATATATGTATTAAAAAAAAAAACCTTGTCTTAGACCTCCCTTTTGTAGTGGGAGAAAAACGAATTTGAGTTTGAGAAGTTTATAGATTTCTGAAATTTTATCTAAAATGTAATAGTAGAATTGAAGGAATGTTGAATTTTTGGAACATAAAGTTTGAATTGTTCTACTAGTATACTTAGAACCCACACTAAAGAAGAGATGTTGATCGAGCTCCTAATTAAGTTGACTCTAAGTACACTATAAACCTTGAAAATAAAAATTCAAAATTTTTGGTTGACTAAGCAAGAAGCTTGAGACCTAGAGAGAAGGAATTGGACATTAATTTTATATTTTCATGAGAAATTGTGTACCAAGAAGGAAATTACTCAAAACCACAATATTCTAGAAAATGTATTGAAAAACCACACACTATTCAAACACTTCTCACTTAATCTAGACCTCAATTTCATCAACCTCTTCCTGGTTTCCTTTAGATGGAGATTCATTTAAGGAAGACAAATAGAGTGTCCCTTACTCCCTTATATATAAAAAATGCACATTATACCTACTATTATAGCAGAATTCCGCTTAAATTTGAAATTGTTTGAAATATCGAAATCCAAAGAAATTAATCAACATACATTCATCACATATCAAACCACATTATTTGAGACCTTATGATTCAATAATACTCCTTCCTTACGGGAGTTTTCTCTGATTTGGTGATTAAGATATTGCATTGACTTTACATCATCCTCATAAACATTTTTTTTCTTCCTGTGAATAAAACTAGAGTCAAGACAAAGGCAAGTGGAGAGAGATGCAGCTGAGAATATATCATATGATCTACTCTAGATTTGGTCCACATGCAAAAACAACTTAATTATTATGATGCATATGCATCATTATTTTGTAAAATTGTAAGAAGAACAAAAATTGTAATCCTTACAAAGCAAGACTGTTGATTTGCTGTAAGTGTGTCTTCTCTAGCTAGCCACCCTTTGTCCTTAATAATTAATTAAGTAACTAAATTATTTGATTACATAAACTCCCAAATCCCATCCACTACCCAAATCACTCTCAAATCCTCCTAATCTTATTCCATTAATCATCAATTAATTGTTAATAATTTCCCCAAATCATAGATTAATGAAATCCCCCATACCAAACCCTTTTATGGTTGGAGGAATGGTCGATCACTCTCAGTCACTATCTCTCATTTATTATTTGTTTAACTAGTGGTTGGTTGGTTAAGTTTTCCAAATAGATCAGAGTCAGAGAGTGATAATAACTATTAAGGGTATACACATGCAGCTAGCAGAAGCAGTATCGCCCAAAGATTCTTCAAAAGCTTATTTATTTATAATATATTTGCTCTGTGTTAAAGTGATTGATCGACATTCCATATCCATTTTTCAGTTCCCTGGATTATGTACTTTGTACAATGTATATGTTCTTCGATCTGCGCGCCACATTGATCTGGTTTGGTTTCGGCAGATTTTTACAGTAAAGCTGATATGGGAGCACTGAGCGGCTGAGCCAGATATGATCTGCTGTTTAATTCAATGATTTACCCGGGGACGAAGTCAGGATTTTTTATTAGGGTGGACCAATTTTTTTCCCAATACACTGATAATATATATATATATCACATTCAAATCACTAAAACAAATTATATAAAATACACTTAAAATTTTACAAAAAATTTCAAAAATCAATATAATACATATAAAATCATTTGTAAAAAAACTCATGCCTTTCATAGTCTCATATACTTACCAATATGATAATTCAAAATAAAATTTCTTTTATAGTTCTAAAATTTTAAATTAAATCTAGCCATAAAATATAATGGTCAAAATTTGACTATTTATAAACGAAAACATGATATCAAATAAATTAACGTACAAGAAAGAGGATAATGAACATTGACTAAGTGATTTCAAAAAGATAAATTAAGGAAACAAAATTCGGGAAGACTAATAATTAGCAAAAATTTGAGAGAAAAAGATGTGGGAAGGCTAATAAATAGTAAAAAAATACGTACAAGAAATAGGATAATGAACATTGAACAAGTGATTTCAAAAAATCTAAGATAGATTGATGAAGAAAATTTAGGAAATAAAATTTGGGAAGACTAATAGTTAGAAAGAAATTGAGAAAAAGGTGTGGGAAGGCATAATAAATAGCAAAAAATTGACTGAATTGCTTGACAAAGCCTTCGAACTGCTTAACTTTCTATCAATGTTGATAATAAACTGCATCTTCAACAACTGTGTTGCTTAAATTCTTTGTGATATGTATTCACGCTTTGGGCAAATTAACAGGTTTAGGGGGGCCATGCAAGCTAGCTCCGTCCCTGATTTACCCTATTATTACCAAAAACTACCCTTTGAAGAAACCACATCTCTCATGACTTTCTCTCCAACGTCTCTTTTCTCTGAACTCTCTGGGGTTCTGTTTTCCGTCTCCACTGTTGGGACTCTTCTTGCTCCAATACAGAGATCATTGGAGCCTATTAGCAGTAGGGATAGCCTCATTACCTTCTCTTATGCACGTCCCTTCGCGTATACAGCCTGCAAAGGGGAAGAAGAAAGCAGGGTTGACCATGGATTCAAAAAATCAAAGGCCAAGAAGGGGGATAGCAGATACTAGAAGAAAAGAAAGAAAAAGGAGATCCAATGGGTACCTCCAGATGGGAAAGAAAAGACCCAACGCAAGGGAAGGGGTGAGAGCTGGAACAGGAAAATGGTCAGGGGTTTAACAAAGGAAGATTTGGCGGATATTCTGAGTCTGCC